AGAACTTGTGAAATGAGAAGCCAATGGCTCTCAGTGTTCACTCTCCTTCCTGGCAGACAGCACCCAGGAAGCCACAGCCCCTACAGGTACTTCTGCCTCATTCCCTTCCGTCCCAGAGGAAGGTTCCATAAGGAGCCACAGTACACACCAAACAGAGATGTCCCTGCACATTCTCCTCTGGTCTCATGCCCAGACAAATTGAAGGACAGTTATGGAATCCAGCTGTTGGGACAGAGTCATAATCCACGTCACCAAGTCATTCCTGTGGGCAAGAAGTTACTCTTATCCGAAACTGAAGTTCAGTTGAGCACCAACGCTAGCCTTCTAGCACAGACTCTACTGTAACTAAAATGTTGATGAGGGGAAATTTCTCTTCACAGATGTATTCCGGCTAAGAAACAGAGTAGGAAGTAGAGAAGTATGTATTGACCCTATTTGGATTTTGTTTTAAAAGAATATATTGTAAAACCAAACCCTATCAACAGCAAAAGAAACAACCACAACTAAAAACAACCTAAATGGCCAAGAAATGGTGACTGGATCAAGAGATAGCGGTACATCCTCACAATGGAATAATATTTAGCAATAAAAAGGAATGAACTAATGAGCTCAAAATAATTATGCTGAGTGAAAGGTGCCTCACCCTCCTCCGCCCTCAAAAAAAAAAGTATATATATAATATCTTGTACTATTTCATTTACATAAAATTTTAGAAAATGCCAACTAATCTATAGCAATAGAGTACAGGTGGGTGGTTGGCTGGGGATGGGGTGGGGAGGTTGTGTAGTGGACAGAAGCATTACTAAGGGGCACGAGCAAACATTGAGGTTGATGTATGTATTCATTATCTTGAATGTGGTGAGGAACTTATGGATGTATACATTTGTCAAACTGACCGAATTTTACACTATAAGAACCTGTAGTTAGTTTTATGTCAATTATACCTCAAGCAGCTATGTTTTTTAAAAGGTAATGAACCCTTTCCTGTTTTGCACACATATTTGACCTCCAGTTAACTTCCCAGCTGTTCCTCCAGCAATCTCATAAGGTGGCCTGTCACCTGTGTTGCTAGGCAACATTGTGTATGGCAGAAATGACCCGTAATAGGTAAATTGCATTTGGACTTGGAGGAACTAAAAATATGCTGTAAATACTTGATGGGGATACCATAGCTTTGGCCTTTGTTGAGTAAGGTGACCTGGTAATTAGATATGTCCCTTAAAGGGACCATGGAAACTAGACATGAGGCTCTTCAGCTAGGGTGATTCCCCCACTTGTGGATCTGGTCTCCCTGAGCCTGATCTGTCACCTAGTGAGGGAGTGGAGTAAGGAGGAAGGACTCCCACAGAAGGATTTATTTCATGCTGACCTGCTGGCAAGCTTTGCTTCTTGTTCCATATCCTTCTAATATGATAATAAGTATGCCCTACAATATCTTATGAATCAAAACGTTTCATTAATCAAAATTGCCCGGTGCAACAAGAAAATCACGCAAATATGAGAGCTGACTGAATATGTGATTAAAATAAAGAATTGCAGTTAATTGTGTATTGTGTGTGTGAGAGAAGATGATGTAATTTTTTTTTAAAAAGACAGCCCCTATCCTTTAAAGATGCAAGCTCAAGCATGTACATATGAAGTGACATGTGTGGAATGTTATCTAGAATTTGCTTCAATATAATTAGGTGCAGAGGAAAGAGGGTGTGGTATAGATGACAGAAGATGGTCCAAGAGTTGGTAATTATTGAAGCTAGACAATGGGTATGTGGGGATTCATTTTACTAATCATCTGTCTACTTTGAACATGTTTGAAACTTTCTGGTCAAACTCCTCCCTTGAGAATAAGTATGAAAGTGGATAGAATATGCAATGCAACTGATGGAAGGCATGGAAGAGCAAACAAGGCTGTCAGCACCTGAGAAGCCAAAGTCTTGGAGTGAAGAGAAGCCCTACATTGGCCTCCTTTTGTATGTCTCGTGGAACGGAGGCATTCTCCGCATGGGGAGTACATTCCTATTTTCATCTATAGTGTGTATACACAGTATATAAAACATTTGCATCTGTGCATCCCCTCCCTATTCACCCACATATCTTGAGTCATTCCCCTTCCTCCTGCATCAATTTTGCTTCTCTATCAATAGTATACAAATGAGATGTCATTGCCCCCATCTCAAAAGAGAATCCTCTCTAGATTTAACACCTCCTGCCCGACTGCCACCTCATTTCAGGCTTCACAGCAAAACTCCTTGACAGAGTTTTCTCTACTGCCCATTTCTCTCTTCCCATTCTCTCCTGAACCCACTAGAAAGTGTTGTCATAGTCCCAATTTCATGAATACCTCTTTCCTTAAATTTATCAATGGTATCTAGTTAGCCAAATTCAGTGGTCATTTTCTGTCCTGAACACCCTTGATCTATCATTGGCATTTGGTATAGCTGATAACTCTCTTCTCCAGAGACTCTTTCTTATCCTGGCTTTCCAACCACCAACTCAGGGTTTCCCCTTCCTTTCCGGCCATTTCTTTGAATCTCTTTCACTAGACATCCCAATCTCCACTACCTCTAAAGGATGCCACAACTAGGATTGTTGGATTTAGCAAACAAAACTGCAGGATAACCAGTTACATTTGAAATATTACATGGAACATACGTATCCTATATGGTCCTTTGTTGTTTATCTGAAATTCAAATGTCAGTGGGCATCCTGTAGTCTATCAGGCATCCCTAGCCCGAACTCAGTCTTGGCCTTGTTATCTCTTTTATCTACATGGCTCCCTAGGTGAGCTCTTCTACAGTCAAGGTTTTGGATACAATTTGTATGCGGATAACTCCCAAATTTTATCTCCAGCTTGGAGTTCTTCCCTAAACTCTAGATCTATGTATCCGACCTCTACTTGACATTCCACTCATATGTCAAATAAGTGTCACCACCTGAATATGTTCGGCACAGAGGTCCTGATAGCCCTGAGCAGTCCATCTCCTGCTGTCGTCCTGTCCATTTCTGCTAATGCTTACTCCATTTTAGCAGTTACTCAGGCTAAACATATTCATGCCATCCATGATTCTTCCTTTACTCTCACACTTCATGTCAGGATCATCAAGTCCTATAGGCTTTATTGTCAAAGTGAACCCAGAAATCAATTACTTCTCATCACTCCCACTGCCATCACCCTGCTCTGAGCCATCATCATTTCTTGCCTAGATTATTGCAATAACTTCCTAATGCTTCCCCTGCTTCCTCCACTTCTCTATTTTCCACACAATAACTTCCTAATGCTTCCCCTGCTTCCTCCACTTCTCTATTTTCCACACAGTAGCCAATGTTCCTGGTAAAATATAAATTAAGCATGTCATTCCTCCATTCTAAACCCTCCACTGGCTTTCCACTTGACTCAGGAAAGTAGCCCAAGTCCTTAGCATGACCTATGAGACTCAACATGTACTCCCCTCCTCAGTTTTCTGACTTCACCTCCTAATCTCTCTATCTCTGGTTCTCTCTGCTCCTGCACACTGACCACCTTGCTGTTTCCTGAAAACTCTTCATGCATTCTCATCAAATACTTAATTCACTGAATCTCAATAAACATTGAGATTTCACTATATGCTACCCATCTGAGAGAAGAAATGATTTCAAAAATAGTGCTACTATTGCCTCCATTGTAGAGAAGGGAAAACAAGATTCCAGGAGGTTATAATTAGCTCAGGGTCTCCCAACATGATTAGAATACTGTAAAAAAAAATTTAAAAAGATGTTTACATAATAATATATTTATATCTATAGCTATATTCAGGTAAAATATTTAGCAAAAACAAAAAAGAGCCCAAAGTAGGGGGTCACTCAGGAGCAGCTCACAGTAACCCCCTTCCCCAGCTCCCCTTCACTCCTAGTCCAGATCCAGCAGGGGACACAGAGATGTTGAGTCATGTCCACACCCACAGCTAGAGCACTCTCTCTCCTGCTGTCCCAGAGCTGCATCCCCTTCTGGATTAGACTAACGTATCCAGCCTTCCAGCCAGGTGGTTTTTTAATGGTGAATCCAATCAACTCACCCTCCCAAACCACCCCCACTTGCCCCTGAAGCCTCCCAGCTTCCCCTGATTGAGTCGCTTCCTACATAGCAGGCTGTCATAGCCCCCAAGGGCCCCCTTCCTAGAACGGACCCAGCGGAATGAGGCATTTCCATCTGAGTCTTTGGTTAAAGTCTGGAACCCGGCAACCCCAACTCGCAGGGTGGGGCCAAGTCAAGCCTGGCCTGACCCTATGAGCGCACAGTGCGTGTGTGGCTCCTCCAGGGAGGAATCCCAGATCCAGGTGGTGAGCGTGGCGCGAGGCAGCTTCTTCGCACCCATGACCTGCGTTCCCTGTTTCACCGGTGACTCTAAGGACCTCTCCACAACACCCCGAGACCATGGTTAAGGGCCCTCGACAAGTCACCACACTTCCAGCCCAGGCTGGCTGGCTGCCCCAGCTGGGGTTATGGAGAGGCCCCCGCCCCTTCCCGAGTCCCCGCTCACCTATGACCCCAAGCACTCACCCGCCTGCCACACGTGCTTGGGTTGCGGCTCTGCGCTGGGTGGGAAGCAGCCCTTACATTCCTGCAGCCCGGGTGCTGCTGCCACGACCACCCACCCAGGATTAGGGGCCCCTCCCTTCCCTGCAGCGCAGACTTGCCTTCTCATCCAGGTCAGAAGACGCATCACACCCAACCTCGCGGCCACTGCTAGGGTCTGAACCCGGCCCAGTTCCCCTTCAAAACCGGTAGGGGGTTTCCTTTCCTGGGGTCTTTTCGAGGGTCAGGGGAAGGAGGACGCCCTGGCAGGGCACGGAAAGGACAGAGTGGAAGCCTACTTGTTTAGGGGGATGTATACACATTTTGGATTTGGGGGAGCACAGTGTGTAGTTTTCAAAACATCCTGATGTGTTAAGAGATCTTAGGTAACCTCAGACACAAACTACTCTTTTCAGTTGATAGCTAAGTGGTAACCGCTGCTGAATCTAACCTTCAGCCCTGTGCTTTGACTCCATCTTCTCAATGCCTGTCATCTCCTTATCAGCACCTTCATTAAGTTCTCCACTCAACAAACTTTACTTGTGCAGTTAATAACTTAGTAGAATTCTAGAACCCAGAGACAATAGCCACTGTCCAGGTGTGGCATCTGGCCATCCAGGGAGAAGCGACATAAAAAAGGCATTGCCAGGGGCTGGCCCCGTGGCCGAGTGGTTAGGTTCGCGCGCTCCGCTGCAGGCGGCCCAGTGTTTCATTGGTTCGAATCCTGGGCGCGGACATGGCACTGCTCATCAGACCACGCTGAGGCAGCGTCCCACATGCCACAACTAGAAGAACCCACAACGAAGAATACACAACTATGTACCGGGGGGCTTTGGGGAGAAAAAGGAAAAAATAAAATCTTTAAAAAAAAAAAAGGCATTGCCATGTTTGCTCTGTTTCACCGTGGATGACCATCCGTTCAGGAGAGGAGATAAGGCTTTTCTTTCCGTCCAGAACACGTGTTTCGGTCCGCCAGACCTGGGCACTGAGTGTGTCTAGCGCCATCTGCTGGAAAACTTGTGAACAATCAAAATGACATTACATGGTTATAAAACTTCACACAGATGAAAAGTCATGCAGGAATATTCAGTCCTCTGGCGGCCACCGCAGCACGGGTCCAAGTGCATAGAGCTGTAATGTTTCCGGCTCTCCGTCCATCCTGGAAGTGCTCTGCGTACACGTAGGCAGAGGTCCATTCCTGGTTCTAAACTGCAAACGAGAGGACACGCATTCTACAACTTCCCCTCGCTCCTTCTGTTCACTTAACATATGGTCTTAGAAATTTTCCCATATCAGCACAAATATTTCGCTTTTTTGGGTCAACTTTGAGCAAAACTCTGAATGGAAAATGTTGTATTCGTGGTGGAAAAAGAATGTCTTTAAAGAACCAGCAGGATACTCTTTCCACCAGATCGGTGTTTCCTGCAGTATTTTTTACCATCTCATTTTCAAGTAAAAGCTACCGTTCACTGAGTCCTTTACTGTATCAGAGACTCTGTGCTCTATGCTTTACTCAAACCGCCCACAGAAACTTCAAATTCTGTATTGTAGAAAGAGTGCACAGGGACACTTCAAATGGCAACTGACTCGGGGCCACAGGGATGGAACATCCTTCTCTGTGCTCCACAGCAGCCTAGCGCTTTCAAAATGCGTAGAGCTCTATACTTTTTATTACCCCTTGCCATGGCAATTCCCGTTTGAGAATACTCTCCCAAAAAATAGTCAAAGAAGAGGAAAGTTGTGATTTATAAGATCTTCACGCAAGCAGTATTTATCAAATGGGAAGATGAGAAACGGCCATGAACAGGGGAAATAGAACGAGCTCAAGCTTCAGTGTGATCTCGGCTCTCTTATTTACTAGCGAGGTGTCCAGGAAAGGTTATTTAATTCCTCTGAACGTCACTTTCATTTTTTGCAAAATTAATGTAAGACAAAAGCGGCAGTGATGTTGTTAATAATAAAAGAGGATCAGTTGGGCCAGTGGTGTCTGCAAATGTCTCTGTGATAAAGCTCCCTTTCCCTTCATGAATAAAACTCCTTTGTGGAGGGGATACCCTGTTCCTGACAACATTTTCTCCAAGGGCCTTAACAACCAGTGGTGATTCTTGCTTGAGTCAGCGGTCACATTGTGGGTAGCAGATGGTCATTCTCAGATTCTTCATCCTCTCTGCATTACTGGCATCTTCTCTAAAGAAGAGCTTTCCCTCCCAACTCCTTCTCCTGCCTCCTTCAAGTCACCCTTTGGACTCATGAATTGTTTTTTTATCCAGTGCGTTCTAACCCATTACTTTTCTCATTGAGGATCAAAGTGTTCAACGTTTCACCAGATGAACCCCTTTACCTGACTCTCTGTCCTTATGACAAGTCCTCACTAGTCTTTGAGCCCCTTCCTGCTCTCTGACATATGGGGTCTCAGTCTCATCTTGTCCTTTCCAGATATCAGACCTAGAAACCTTTCTCCTTTTTCAAACCTTTCTCCATGACACCGTGACTCCTTTGATTGGTGAAGGATATTTAAAAATCAAGATCTGGGAGAATAAACCCTTTTAAATGCTTGATACACATGTTAAGAACTATGAAGGATCTGAGATTTTACCTTATTTTTGAGCTAACAAGTTAGCCTGTCCCTGTTTCATGGATGCTGGTGAGGGACAGGATGACCTCGGATCAGACACAAAGCACATTCTTACTCATGGCACAGCATGACATAAACTTTATCTTAGCATTAGTTCCCCAAGTCCCCCATCCCGTGGGGTGGGCCTAGATGGATGCTGTCCACACAGTGGGTTTGCATCGCAGTCCAGGAGCCTCAACTTCAGGATATCTCAATCTTCCCTAACGGGCTCCAAGCACGCTTGCCCAATCTTCGCCTCACAGGGAGGCATCCCCTTTATTACATTGTGCAGCAATCATGCCTCCCTCTGCTCTGGAGGGTGATTCTCTCTCTATCTTCCTAGGCAGTTCCTCATGCCAACATCCTTGAAAGGATAGTCCAGAACCAAAAGGCAGTCAGTGCCTCTGCTCACAAGATGTGCAGAAACCCAAGAGACCCATGGAGGAGTGTCTCCTAACATTAAACAGACCAAGAGGAAGCAGTAAAACAGAGACGGAGACTATTCTGTGGGCTTGGCAACCTGCATCTTTGATGACATTATTAAGAACGATTTTAGTGGAGTGGGAGATGAAGGTGTGAGGAAGATGCAGTGAGGATACTGGCAGGGAGGGGAAATTCCCCCCTTCTACACTTCTTGTGTCTTCATAGCTGGACTGATGATAAAATTGACACAAGACCAGATTACCAGGAGAAAAACCCAGCTTAACATGTACCTATTGGAGATCATAGAGAAATGATGCTCAGAGGATGAACAAAGCAGGCAATATATATATCTTTTACACCAAGAAACAATGAATTTTGTGAAGAATGACAGGACGAAGAAACTTAGGTTTGAGGTACATAATTAGTGAGAAATTTAAGCAGAGTTTAGCCCTAAGGTAGTAAATTAGCAAGGCTTTTTTCCCCCAGTAATTTTATTGAGATCATAATGGTTTATAACATTGTGTAACTTCGGGTGTACAGCAAAGTTTGTTATACAGACTTCTCGGCCTGAATTCCCAGCTCTGGAGGTGAGGGTGCAGCGGGAGCACCTTTCACACGGGAGATTTATTTCCTGCTTTCAGGGGAACAGAGACAGGAGGATCAGAAAGCCCTTTTTGCTTCTCAAGTAGCTTTGATTCAAAATAATCATTATGCCATTGTGGGGTATTTTGGAGTGGCCTGCCCTGGGTCCGAACACTACTTATTCCAAGCAGTGGTCTGCAGCGTGGTTCTCAAAGTGTGCTGTGTAGACCAGGAGCATCAGGACCAAGTAGGAATGTATTAAAAATGTAAATCCTTGAGCCCCACTTCAAATCTACTGAATCAGAAACTGGGGGTGGGGGTGGGGGAGCACAGCAATCAATGTGTGTTATTAAAAGCCCACCAGGTGGTTCTGGTGCACCCTAAAGTTTGAGGACCATGCATCTGCAAGTTGCATTTGAAGGAAAGTAGAATGTCACCCCAAAATAGGCCTCTTTGACGTAAAAATTATTTTGAGCTGAAGGCAATTAAGAGGCAGCAAACCCAGAAAAGCTCCCCTTTTCTGTCTAAAGCTGGGATATAACTTCTCCTTTCACTGGACACGGAGGTCCATCAGCCCAGAGAGAACACCTGAGGAATCTGCAAACGAACCTTACTCCATGAATTCCCTCCCATATGTTTAACTTCCCACATTTTGCAACCCTGGAAAGCCTAAAACTGCTTTCCTTTGTCCTCTCATTTCTCTATAAATTTATTGTTCTTGTTGAAGACTCTGTATAATCTGGAATTCTGAGCCGCCATTTTGGTTACTTTTCCCTTAGGTCTGTCAGCTAGAGGGGCACTGCTTCTTTAATAAGCTATTTTTCTCTTGCTAATCTCGTTTTTTGTTAATACTCCCCGAAGAAAACCCAGTTGTGTATGGGATAAGTTTTGCCTTGCCTACACATTCAAAGCAAACAACCCTTTCCCCACCCTGCTGGGTAATTCCATCTGAACAACGCCCCATACAATGACAAAGGAAATGTTAAGTCACATACGATGGAGGAGAATCCTGTGTTAAAAGAGAACTAAGTTTGGGGACTTTGTCTGACAAGATGAACACCGAAAGGGAAAACTCTGTGACTGAAAACTGAATATTTTAAAACTGAGTTATTTTTTAGAGTTAAAACGAGGAAATCAGAGAACTCAAAGGCCTTATGCTTGATTGAGTGTCAAATGTCAGCCACTCTAATCACTTCAACTACCTTGTTTGTCTCTTTCAAAGAGTCTCAAGTCAGGGTTTTTAGCTTAAAACTCTGTCCTAAATGTCAAATCAGTAAATCCAACTGCAAGCTGGACATTTCGGTTTATTAACAGCACCAAACTCTCAGCGTTCAAAACTGAACCTGCCTTCCCATCCAATCCCGCTCTCGCCCAGCGGTTGTTATTTCAGTGCCTGGAGCTCTGCCCCTCCCTCCATGTCCCACCATTTACTAATTCCTTTATGTCCTCTTCTAATCTCATTCCGCCACCCCGCCTCAGGGTACCATAATTTCCAGCAGAAGCCTCCTGACAGTCCAATCTGGCCGCTGAATCTTACCCCACCTCGTCCACTCAGCCCCCACGGTTGAGCTCTAAGATGCCCCAGGGAGATCTCTTCAAAAGCACCTGCTGCTCCTGCTGTCCCTCTGCTTAGAAGCTGCCGGCCAGTTCCCACTGCTCCCAGGGCCAAACCACAGATTCTTCGCATGGCTCCGTGCCCGCTGTCCCTTGCTTCCTTCACTTGCTTCATGGCAGCTAGTTCTCTGTGCCCCATTCCAGGAAGAAATGCCACCAATAACTACTCAGTTTGCCAAAGCACATGGACCATTTGAGGGTAGACCTCTGACCTCTGAGTTTACTTCCAGCTGCACTCTGGGCCCCACACAGAGAGTAAGTTTCCAGGGGCCCCCAGGCAGTTGGACTTC